AACAATTCCTGTAATTCTGAAATGGCAGTTAAAGTCTCACAAAGAATGACAAAATATATAATCGATTAAATACTACATGAATGGTACGAGATCATCTAGTAAGTGCACATGTCTGATCAATCCTGTGCATAAGTATCTGCATCGAGGGATCAATTTTCTGCTTGAGCCACGGGCATGCAGCCTAGAAATGTTCTCGTGACGGTCGCGCGTGTACGCGAGTTTACACGGTCTGGACCTTATTATGACAAGGTTGGCAGCTTTTTTACTAAAATATACCACAACGTTTGCTACCGCCTGAATATCTTGCAAATTACAAATATAATAATTATAAAATTACATCGGTTTAAATTTGCTGACCTTGTCATAATAAGGGACATGTCGCAGCACTCGGAAGCTTTCGTCCAATTGGATAATGCTTTTCTATGCTTTTTAAAGAACGAAGCTATGCTATTGGTTGAAACAGAGATGTATTGTAAAGTTTAGGCAATGAAAATCATTCTTGCGAGGAGCTGCGATAAGAGACCGAGTAGACACGCGCGAATGCCACGAGAACGAAAACATTTCTCGGGCTGCCCACGTTCGAACCACTTTTTTCCTTCTTTTCGTTACTGGAGATCTAGAAAGAACATTTACGAGAGTTAACATAAGTATATACACAAATAGTGTTGCATGTTAGAAGTGAGAGAGGTCCGTCATTTTGATTTTAAAACCAAGCCACCATATTATCAAGTGAAAAAAATATTATTTTCACACACGAGGTCTACATGGAAACAACAGATCAAAACTAACACATTGTGCAACGATTGAGGAAATTATGATTTTTGGCACTGCACTCGATGCAGGTAAATTCTAGAGGTTCAAAGGGTCTTAATTTCGAGTGGAATTACACACACTTCAAATTCAAGCCAGGAACAGTTAATGGGAAAAGGAGTCAACTATCTGTCCTCCGTCAGGAATCGCACCTATGCTTTTGCGATGCTGGTGCAAATTGAGGAAATGAGTTAATTAGTTAAACTTAACAGATAAGTAAGGGGGTTTAATAACTCATGGATGCAGATTTTGTTTTTATCGTACATGCAAAGCATGCTTTTTCACTCGCTACCATTCCCCCACGAAATGCCTGCTGCTAGACCAAAGCCAAATATTTATATCAGCAGTTATCATGCAAGTCTATGCTTGCCTCCCATTTGCAAAATAACAAAAACAAAACTGCAGGAAAAACTTTGCGTAGAATGGCCGGGAATCACACTATTCCATCGAGCGTGCTTAACTCAATGTACTTTGATGCATTCCACGCTCTCGACAGCTCGTATTTTCTTCATCAAATCTATGTAACAGAGTTGAAAAGTCACAACGTCGTTCCATCGTCTGTGCCTTTGAATCTTGGAGAAGGAGGTCATTTTAAACACCTTAAATACCCTCGGGGATCATTGAGAGATATTCAAAGTTTTCTCACGCTGTCCTACAAAGGTGGATATGCCCTGTTTTTGGGTACAAGTATTATGTTGGAATGCACAAGCGCGAAATCTGAAAAGGATCGGCTCTTGGATGTCAAGTTTCAGTTGACCAGTATACTGGCTCAAATATACTTGCAGTCATTACTTGGGATTTTCCAGTACCGAGACGGACGCGAGAAAGCTGACAAGGATAAGTTGAGAAAACGGCTTCAGAATTTGATGAAAGTTTTTTAGAGGACGTATATTAGGCTCTGATTCCTCATTTTGAAGGCGAAAAACCGTTGTTGATGAAATGGGAGTTGAATTTAGAGTACATGATGTGTCTGTCTGATTTCTTGAGCAAAGTAAAAGGGACAAACGGACGGAGATATACAATATAAAAATCAAGAAACGAAGATTGTTATTACAGTTATTATAAGTCATAAATTTTGAATTAATCTAAAGGTAGTAAGTTGCTATAAAATGACGAACTATTATCGTTATATATAGTTTATAATTTTCTTATTGTACTTCGATTGAACACGATTCGTGTCTTTTATATATGAACAAATTCAGTGCATGGATAACTACATTATATGTGCATGCAGTAGCTTTATTACAGTGATATATATACATATATATAATATACTGTGTAATGGTATATATAAATGCAATTATATATATATTTTTGCCTTAGAAATATTATTAGATAGAGGCAAAGAAAAGCGTTGCCACAAGATCGAAGGATAATCGCACATTTGAATGACTCGGATTTTTTGGAAGCAAACACTGTAGAAGAAAACTTATAAATCTAAAATCCTTGAGTTCGTACAATTGTGCCTAGCTATTTCCAAAAATTCGTGATCTATTGATTGTTCACGAGCTCGACCATTCCTGATGATCGATTCAACGCCTAAAATTTCGGCTCCATTAAACACAGTCACTAATGTCGATATCGACGACGTTTAAACGAAATATTCGTTGGTGCAACAATTCTTGCTGTTTGTGTTGCTTTTATCGTGATTCTTTATACGAATATCATAGATTTTGGTAGCAATGATTTGATTACTCCATGCCGTTAAAATCTTTAAAGTAGAAAGATTCACACAAACGAGGTTGTGTATTTTTGATGGCATTCTTCGTCCATAAGATGATTAGAAAAAAGTAGTGGCTCTATATTACTAGCTATTTATTGTGATGCATGGATGTACTTTATATGATCGTGATAACTCGAATAGCTTCTCCGTGATTCTGTTGTCTGCAGATAATCAAATGATCACGATTCTTCTATATCCACTGTATATCAACAGTAGATTTCTCCTCATCCAGTTTTAGCTGATTATCATTACAATACTTAATTTATTGCTGTAAAATTCAGCCATGTAGGTTTAATAAATGTTCCAGACTTGAAATTTCTTAAAGATAAACTTCTTGACAACATTTAAATAAATTGAATATTATAAAGGACCTATGATGAATAAGATCTTGTCTTTAGAGAGTCTCCTAATTGAATACCCCATGCAAAGGTTTCTATCACATGCCACACGTCAATCATATCCAATTTTCTGTTTTTTGTAAAGTATACTTACTAAAAATATATATTTCGTAGCTCGTTGCAACCAAACGTTTAAGATTTGCATTTAATAGATTTAAGGAATTGAATTTAAGCATATTATTTGTGATTCATAAAGGAATTAGAGAACAGAACAATATTTCTATTTCATCTAGATAGATTTGTGCCTATATGCATCATGTACAGTACTATCACTTCTGCTATCAACATTGAGTAAATAAGATTAATAATGTTTTTAAAGGCATTCCCAGGTGTGGATGAAAGTAGATGGAAAATTAGTAGGTTAGGTGTAGTGAATTAATTAATCAAGTTAAGAGTTGATAGTAGGTTTTCAGTTTCTATTTTATTAAACCCTTAAGTTCTTAATTAACAACTTTGATGTTGTTTTATGTCTAACATAAACGCTTCCAAGAAAATCCCGCTAGATTCCATTCCGTCACATATTATTCCAAGACTATTTAAGATCTCTCTCTAACTGTTCTAGGAATTCCCACGTAGTCATGATAATAACAAAATCTTTCGAACCTTGTAGTTGCTCATTAATTTCTTGAGCTCGTTAACAACTTAGATACAATTATTTTAGCAACATATTTCAAATGTAAAAACTTCCAGGAAATCACCTTTTCCTGTAAAGATACCAAACACCACAAGTAATTCGAAATCAATGAATGAATTAGAACACTTCTTCATAATCGTACTTTATATTGGACAATATTACAATACTATTGGAAGGATAATTTTGACAAATCTAAAAATGTAATAAACACGGAGAAAAATGCACTTGTCGTTTCTTTGGCGTAGGTCCAAACTACCCAGGCACTTATATATTATAGTTCAAACACTATTTCACGAGGTTTCAAATTTACCGCTAAATGCTGACCTGTCTGACACTTTAATTTTTCCTGCCAAGATTCCGCTTCACCTGAAGACAAATTCCTTTCATCCAGTTGATTAAACATTTTTTCCTCGGTTATGAATTGCGCTTACTTGCTGCGACTACTCAACTTGATCTGTGAGAGACTTAAACATACACACGTATTATGTAAGGACCAGGAAATGGGTTTCACCATAATTTTTAATCCTAGAATTGAACCGATGTTTCCTAGGAAACAGTTTTCCGAGAAGACTACGAGTAGGATTTCTCTCATTGAATGTATTCCTTGAAACTTAATATCACTATATGGAATAGTAAAACTATGTCTACAATTTGCATTTAACTTATATATATTTGCTTATTATATAACCATGCAAAATATGTCTTTCTTGAAAGATCTATTACTTTGCCCTGTTTAGGGTCCAATAAGATCACCAATTATCAGTCTATCTGCTCCTCTTTGAGGTCGTTCAAGCCTTCAAGGGCCGTCACAGGTTGTTATAGTTGTCGTTGTTTGTTGAAGTAAAACTCTTCTAATCACTTCAGCCGAGTTATGTAATTGGCTCCTATATAAAGCTATGATAATGAAATTAATCTTCCATAAGCCGTTTTTTATGATATTAAGCTGTTATCTGCATATGAAGAGAAGATGTCATTTGTCAAAAGAGGTCACACATATTAGACAATTTTCATTATTCATTAATTTCAAACAACAATCGACTGCGTTTTAAAGAATTAGAATTAAACAGTAAGAGATATTTCCTAAAGCAAAAAGGGTCATATTTGATATATATTGTATAATGTTTCATTGTTTGCTTTGCACAGTTCTTTGAATAACTTCCCAGAAAAAAGCGATTCTCTTTATACTAAGAAATTCTTTGAAGAGAATTTTATAGATTCGACTATCAATTTAATAATAATTCAATCCAATAATACGGTTCACGAAATCACGACCAATTTATAATTGTGTTATACCATGATTGAAATGGGATAATTTTACGAAATAAAGGAATACATGTTGTGTGGTTTGATCAAGTCAATCACAAAACAAACCGTATATTACATCTTTAGTTGTACCAACGGCAAAACAGCAAATCCTTTCTTGAAATTTTTATAGCTCTGAATTCTGGGAAATCGTTTTCATTAGCGGACGGCTTCAGTTTGGATTCTCCTGAAGGTCAGAGGATTTTGAAAGCCAAGTCGAAACATGTTGGCGAAGTACGACAGGTCTGTATATAACTGTTTTTTAGTTTACATAACTTGATCAGATCGGTGTTTTTCTTTTTGAGCTGTTCACTGCCCTCTTCACCTAAAACGTAGGCTGGCGCGCCTGTGTTGTTAAGTGCAATCTGTTTAACTTCCGTTACTTTTCAGGCTGAACTAGCAGAAGAACAAGTGTATTTTTCATCGCGAGAAAAGAAAGAGGAAATGGAAACTAAAATGCTCTTAACAAAAGAAATTAAAGTTAAAGTGTTTCAATGTGAACAGGTAGGACTTCATGTAATAAGACTGGTGTAATAACCAGTTATGATTGTTTGTGAGAAGGTATAAGCTTAATGTGACCGGATGTCAGGAGGTTAGATCGCGTATGGAGGGATAAGGTCTATGATCTCGCGAGAAGAGATGAGTTAAATGTGAGTAAGTATGATCTAATGTTAGGAGAAGCCTCTGATCTGAGCATGTTGACGTATTAAATGTGAGACTGTTAAATTACTCGTGAAGGGATAAGCTGTAACGTGAACAGGTATGACCTAATACGAAGAGGCTATAAATCTCGTGCGAAGAGATTCCTGCTCCACGGTGCATGCAATGTGACCTTAATTAATGTGAGAAGGTTAGACCCTGTGTGTGAAGGGTTGATACGAAGGGTTGTGAAGGGTTTGACCTGAGACAGCGGAGCTAGTAGTCCTACGCTTAAAACTCGCCACCAGAATTTTAAGCATGTTTGCTTTTATGTCTTTGCTTTTTCTTGCAGTGTAATTACGTGGCTGAAAAACCTGGCGTTAAGTGCAAAGAAGAGAAGCACAAACTAACGCAAACGCAAGCGATGAAGAAATTTTTCTCTTGTCGTGACTGCAGTGAACGTACGATCGTATATGGACAGCGGTATCCAACGCGTGAGTGCAGGTGAGTAACCTCCCTACCAAGTATACCCCCGGAATAAGATGCAGAGATAAGATTCACGAGCCAATGATTGAAATCTTTCACTGTTTTTGAAGTTATACAAACACATTGAGTCATTATCAAGCTAATAATATGCATGATGTAATTAATGATTGGGAATAAACACTCACAGAGTCGAGTACACACGACAAGTCTCAACGAAGTCCTTAATTCATTAAATTAACTTATCCTATTTCTAATTGTCCTTTTTCGTTAAAAGTCTTAAAATAACAAAAGGAATAATTAACAGCTAAGCTTTTTATATCCAGTTTTTGTCAAATTATTCATTTTAGAAAATGTGGGGCGAATAATTGGGAGAAGTGTGGAATGTGGAAGGTTATAATCTTTTATACGTTAATCGTTCTGTTATAGCTTTAATGCGTGTGTCTTTCATCTTTGAAGATTTCATATTTGCATAGGTGTAGGATTTTTCCAGTTGTCATTCCCATTTCCTATTTACATAAGTTAAGCGGGTTAATCATTAAACTTATTTTTTCATATTTTTACAGGAGAAAAGTGGACCTAAAGTAGGAGGCGAAACCTTAATGCTTCGAGGACCAGAACATGGAAAATACTTAAATTCCCTACAGATGCCAAAAACGAATGGTATTTTGCCAAAGTATCTGTGACTTTTTACTTAGGTAGGAATTTCTTGAGATCTAGAGAATAAATTAGCCTTTCTCATGATGACGAATATCCGCCATTTTGGGGGTACTTTCAACTTTCTTAAATGCGTTTAAACAATAATAGCAATGTAAGAGGCATTTTTAAGAGTTAATAGACCATTTGAACGATAAATTAAGCCTAAAATTAAAGACCCTGACAAGGTCTTGCGCTCAAAATTAAAAAAAAAGTACCCCAAAAATGGCGGCACATTCCTCATCGTGAGAAAGGCTAATTGATAATAATTTCAATGTAAAAAGTATAAATATGTTTTGTGATATAACTTTCATATTTCACGTGTCCTGTTCTTATATAGAGCTCTTGACAAAGTGAGGATGAAACCATGAGCCCGAGGGCGACAGCAATTCACGTCCAAACCGTTATGAGATGAGTGACCCAAGGCCAAACCTTGAACGTAATAAATGAATCTTCTGCATTTTTGCAATCACTTCTAACGCAGATATTGTTTCAATCGGAATCAATTTTAAAAACGTTACCCACACAGAACAACCGCAACCATTTGGCCCAATTCCCGGATCATTCTAGCGCATCTAGACAACAATAGGTTAACTTCTAACGATTAATTAAATATACTAAAAGTATTTATATGTAGTACCATTTGCGTCCCGCCGTCACTGTTGAGCGAACGGAGACGGGTTATGAACGTGAGATAAGAACTAAGGAACAGACGTGATGATTCCCACTTTTGACAAAAAATGTCTGCAGAATATTTATTGACAGAATCTTCCTGCTGTAGGTATCACTTACATAATCAATTAACTGTAGACACTTGTGTTCATACGTGTACCTTCTAATTGAGTTTATCCGGTTTTATCAAGGAAATAAAAAACATTGCGTGATACTAAATATGGTTGAACGCGTACCAAGCCCTAATCGACGCAAAATGCGCCAAACAACTATACCGCTTTGAAATATATCTTCACTAATATCAAACTCGTTCCAGAGATGTGATCCTAAAAAATTAGCATATTGAGCGCCGCCTTGATTACTGACCAAAATCATTGACATATAGAAACCGCGGAAATCAATCATGCGTCATGATTAATCGGGTTTTTCGTCGGGGGGGGGGCAGGCATTGTCTTTCCCTACCCTTTCTCGAAGGGAGGATGCTCTACACTATACAGTGCTGGTAGACATTTAGATTGTTCGCTCAGGTGATCAGTAACATCTGCCTCGGCTAAAGCAACGTCGCGGTTAAAGCAACATTTCCTGAGACTGGACTGTCTCGGCTCTCCTTTGTTTTGAAAAAATAATGTCTCTTATTGTTTTTGTTTTGTGTAACTTTTAAGGACGGGCGTGGCTACAAAATTTCAACTGACCTGTCCTTACGATTTCACTCGCGCACGAAGGCCACAGGTCAGACAGGGTGCAAATTGAGTGCGAATCATGTTTTCACTTGGTTTTCACCGGGTCTTTACTCCGATAGCGGAGTAATTTACTTGGATGAAAGGCGCGGATTCGGGCCAGAAATTTACCTAACGTAATCGTAATTCTCATACAGAAATTACAGCGATTAGTTTGATGCAAACCTTGAACACTTTAGGTAAAGGTAATTTTGAATTAGCTGTAATCAATATAATTCCAAAATGGCAAAATACGTTTAGGAGTTAAGACATTTTGCCAACCAAGCGATATCACTCATTCCTAAAATTTGGCCGATCGGCAAAAGAATCTATTCATCATGTTACCCACTGCGCATGTCTGGTGCTAATCGAATGTTTCTACTTTCTTCCGGCAGTCAACAGGAATATAATTTGGTTTAGAATTTAAACGTTGTTCATCTTAATTGTTGTTGAATTATCGTATATTTTGAACTGCTTTCGGCTAATTCTTATTCTTCCATTGACTTTATTTATTATTGCCTGTATATGCAGTGAAAATGAAGCCGTAATAAGAGTTGAATTATATCACTTCCGAGACAGGTAAAAATGGCTACAAAAAAGGACAAAGCTGTGCAGGATTTTGAGAGTCAACATAGAGGTAAGAGTTTAGTTATTATGAAACAGTTTCCCATAGGGACATTCAGCTTTTTTCCTTAGCATAACGAATTGCCCTTTATTTGAATAGACAATAGACGAATTTATATTTTAAATACATTTCCGGGTAATATAAAACTTCATATTATCAACAATCATAAAAGTTTCGTCTGAGAGAGTTGAATACGCTTAATATTATCTCGCATTTAAAACTGTAGCAGCAATTTCCTGATGATACAACATTAAATAGATAAATATTACAAGAAAATCCGATTTTGTGATCATTTTGGGATCTATTATTCGGTCCTGAACTTAAAGCAAGCAGCCTGCCTGGCTGCCTCGTTAACCCATGCAGACAAAATGTCCGTCTGACAAGTGCAAAACTGCAAGTGTGGTTAGTCTTTTGAAACATTTTATAATGTGAATAATAATATTGCCGTCTAGACAAGCTGAGAGACAACCTGATAAGAATTGAAAATTTAGTGGATGATCGCCGCTAAATATCCGAACACAATTAATTTCTTGCGTAACTCAGTTCTGTTGCAGCCTAGAAAGCTACTGATAAAATTCATGAGGAAATAGGTGCTTCAAACATCCCAATATCCTACATCGCTGCATTTTCACTAAGTCAATATAACTGCAGATTTGTTTATAAACATGTGATTTTGTGTATATCAATTTCGTTTTATCGTAGTCCACCTGAAATAATGTTACCCGTTTACTGTCTAGTTTACCTAAAAAGTGTGTAATTATAACTCATGTTTGCTTAAATGCCTACCCTGCAGTTAACAGCGTGATATCAAGCTATACTCTACTAGATTATTTATTGAAAGACTATTGGTTTGCAAGACAGCTGGAACAATATCTTTCACAACATTTTCATATATCAAATACATCTTGGGAGAAATGGAAAGATGAATATGTTATATTATATTATCTCCTGCATTTCTTTGCTTTTGCATTCTTTGTCTGTGTGTCACCAATATATGGAATTATGTGAAATATTTCCTTCCAAATTCTTTCTCAAAGGTCTAAAATATGGGTTGTTATTCAATATATGGGTAATAGGAAATATATCATACCTCTTGGCCTAGCTAGAAGTCCATTATGTACCTGCAAACTGATTATTTATATTTTAAATTCACAATGCAAAAAAATTGTGGAAACTTGTTTAGATTCCAGTTTGCTTATATATAAAAAACAGCCAAAAATATGACATATATGGAAATCCTATATATAGATTTGAGAACATTCCTTGGGGGAGCGAGCATGCCTTGACCATTTAATTTATTACATTTGGTGTTAACAGGCAGTTTATTTATTAGCTAATATTGCATCTTGCAAACATGATATCAGGGTGACAACCAATGTTTTTTATATTATGATTTTAGAGCTGAGCAAACAACTTGGAGAACAATTAAAGTTTTTTGATGCGAGAACAGAAAGTAAATTGTCTGTGCTTGCAGACTATCAGGAGTTTTATAAAAGATTGGGAGAAGTTGAGCAGGAATATGCCAGAAGCCTTGACAAAGTTGCAGAAAGATTCCAAGATAGATTACGTCAAAAATTGCAAAGGTGAAGTATGATGATGTGTTTTAATTTACCATGGTGCTGTGTAGTAATGTTTAAATGGTAGATTAGTTGGTAAAGTGATTGAGTCGTTTTTGTTTTATTAAGCCAATTGCTCAAGATTATCTTTTATTTAGGAAAGAAAGGATGAATACTGTTGAAATTTTTTCACGGATTCTACAAGATTTAAAAGCTAGGGCCAAAATCAGATTATACATGGGTACCCGATTATCTGAAAATATGGCGAATAGATTTTCTACAATCATAGAAGATGTACAAAGAGTAAACAAAAAGGTATGCCACTTATATATTGCTTTAAATAAACATGTTTGTGACTTAATTAAATTTGCTTTGTAATGGTGTACTGTGTTGCTGTATTCAATTTCAAGAGTCTTTTTGAATTTAGTGTAGAGAGACATCAGTGACCTTGCAAGATGAATTTGTGAAACAGTTGAATGAACTAAATGAGGTAGTGCATTAGTTTCATTGGTATACCAGGGTAGTACGGTAAATTAATCAAGTATAAACATCAATCTCAATTAGCAGATTTCCTAGTGTTTTGTAACTATAGTACAATTGTTATGTGTTGGTTCAATACTGTTAAACAACAATCAGCATTTGAGCATCAAAACAAAGTAAAATTCTGTAGAAATGCATGTCTAGGTGAAGTTGAAAGGTTTGATGTATGCCTGCATGGTCTCCAAACTCTCTACATACTACATACATGTACTTTTGTTGTATTTACAGAAACTCCGTCGCTACCACACAATGCAAACCGAGAGTAAGCTTGCGGAAACCAAGTTAAAATCAGCAGAAGGTGCTCAACAGAAGTTGCAAGCTCCCCGAAAGAGGGGGAGTGTAAAGAGGGCAAAAAATGCTGATAAACTAAGAGAGAAGGTGAGGGATTTGGTCAAAAAAGTGGCTTTGGTTATGTTAGTTTTGCTCGGCCATGGGCCATGTGGCAGTGTTGTTAGTGCACATGACTTTCTCCTTGTTTGACTGCCCCATTTTCCCCTGCTCCCTTTCCCCAATTAATATTTCTTTGCTGATCTAATCACAAAAATCAAAATGATAACAGATTGAAAATTATATATTTCAAATCAATATTGGGTAAGGGACTGTCAGCTAAGAACTACTAGGTTGAATATGAAAAGAAGAAAATTACCACCTGCATTTTTTCATTTCATAAATTTATTGCAGATATTTTAAGTATAACATATAGTTCTACTTAGATAGGAGTAAGAAATATAGGAATCATATACATGGTAATTATTTTTTTCTTTTATTTAGTGTCACAAGCGATACACTGAGACAAAGTTGAAAGCGATGAGAGCCCGCAATGAATACATTCTTTGCCTGGAAGCAACAAATGCTTTTGTTAAGAAATATTTTGATAAGGATGTTTATGATATTCTAGAGGTACAATTAATGAACAACAATATCTATTGCATGTGCTTAGTTTATTGTTAATTGTTCTTCCCCTCAGGATATTGGGCCATCTGGTGGTTACCACAGTCACACTTGTTTCTGTGCATGAAACACCTTGAAACACCTTGACTCACGACGAAAGTGTGTGAGGAATGTTTTTATCACCTCAAAAAAGCACTCATGGTTACATCCACCAAATAATTGGCTTTTTGTAGAAGCATTTGTTGTTTTTGTAAACTGGCCATCTTTTGTATCAACTTTGTTGCCTCTCATTTTTTTTATTAGTGATGTGCAATTATAATTTATCATTTCAGTGTTATGATCACAATTATCAACAAGCATTTCAGAGAGGGATAGATTACTATTCCGGCATGGAGATCCAGGCTTCAAAATTGTTTCAGAAGGACTTGTCAGCATTGAAAGACAATGTCAAAGGAATGAACACAGAGAATGAGAGATTAAGAATTGCTTCAGAGAATCCACACACTTTCCAATTCTCTGATAAATTTATATTCATCAAACACTCTGAAGATGAGGTTAGTTGATTCTCTGCAGTTGAAAAACAGTGCTTTAGTTCTCCTGTCTTGCGATTTTTTCTCACATTAACTACTAACTAGTTGCTACAGTTTGTGAGAACATTAAGTTGAGGATTTCTGGCCATCTAAGAATTGGAAACATATTTAATATATGAATTATATTGTACCACTGAACTACCCTGCTCATAGACTGAATTAGGAGGGGTTCCTCCATGTTCAGGCTCTTTCTCAAAAACTTTAAACCATGACTCCTATTGTTTGTTTATTTATGTTTATTTTCAATATTTCACAGGTTTGTCAAATCACCGCTCAGGAACATGATACATTAGACAAGCAGCATAACGATGTTGAAGAGAGATTAAAAACAGCAAAATCTGAGACTGAAGAGGTACTGTGGTGATTGTGATTAAGATTATAGTTAGAAATTAAGTCCGAATTGATAGTTAGGACTTGATGTGGATGATGACTGACTTGTTAGTCAGGTTGGTAAAGATGGTTGTTCGGAATGGTTGGTAGAGATACTTAATGGTGATAGTAGTTAAAGATGGTTTTTGAAGATATTTAGTGACTATGGTTGTTGGAGATGGTTGATTGATATTCCTTTGTTTTGAACTCTACACCAGTAAATGTGAATACAATTATAAATACTATAATTTTTTCATCAGATCAACAAAAGTCTCGAAGCTGCTAAAGACACTCTACGGAACACGTACAACAAACTCGACCAAGAACTTAGCGCGGGATTTAGTAATGAAAGAAATGGTGGCACTGAATCGTCAGCAACCAAATCAAATCGGGAAGAATTAGAAAATTATTATTTGGCAGTAAGCAAAACAGTTTTGTTAAACAAACGTATTGGGTATTTCCAGACTATTTTCTCGACAAAATGCTTCAATATCTTGTGTTTTGTAGAAATTTAAGGAATTGATATTGACAAGTTCAGTTCGGGCAAGATTGCAAGCAAAATACAACGCTTTTATGAAAGCTTTAGGTATGAAAAGCCAAAACCTTAACTTTGAATAAAATGATTTTCAACATAGCGTAGGCCATGAAAGTATTTTCTATTTCCTTTTAAATGGAAGAACTCGCAAAACTGTTTATAATTTCTTTTACAGTTTTTCTAATAATAATCTTTCTTCTTTCTTTATTTCACCTGCAATCTACACAAATACGTATAATAACTGTGTTGATATACAACTAAAAAACTACTGTACAGTGTATATAAACTGTCGTCTTGAATTTTAATCCAACTTCCTACCGCCTTCGGCTTTGATCACGTCACTTCTTGGTTAACCGTAATAATAACTCCTCCTGTGACTGCATGCCTGCATAATAACTCCTCCTGTGGCTTGCTATCATGTTGTAAATATATTCTCACATTTGTCTTGTTTTATATAACTCATATTCTGAGTTTAATCTGTTTTTCTTCTCATAAAAAATTTTTCTTCCCATAAAAGTTGTTAAATATTTTAGTTGTTAGGTAGAAAGAGTTCTTTCATTTAAGTGGACATAAAATACATTTCCGATATTTTTAACTCTTGTCTTTATTTCTCAGGCGGAGAACCGGGAAAAAGGTAGTTTATTCACCATATATGATCATTAGTATCATGGACTTATACTGTTTTTTCGGAAATAATCGTTGGATCTTGCGTAACAACACTACTAAATGTATGCCCAATAGATGGTTCGTAATTCTTTAAATATTTTATTTATTTTACCAGGCCACCTCAACTCCCAATTAAACCAACTGCAAAATCTCATGCGTTGATTGCGAGTGCGCATAAGAAATATCAGTTGTTTGGAAGCAAATTGGAAGATTATGTTAAGGTAAATTGTATTTTCATTTAAGAAATAGAAAACATTTTCCGTGTTTCTATACAGTTATAGAAACACGCGTGGGAGTTTAAGAGAACGAGAAATAATCAGTGGGACCAATCAGCATGCGCGTACTATAATAAATGTTATTTAACAATTAGACAACGAGTCTGAGTTGTCTATGAGCGAATAGTCAACGAAGGCGAAGCCTGAGTTGACTATTCGCTCATAGACAACGAAGGAGAGTTGTCTAATTGTTTTAGTATACACCCTGTACATAGATATATTAATTTCGAGAAAATAATCGATACACCGCAATTACACCGAAAAATAATTCAATTTTATACGGTCGGCAGAGCGAAATTTTTCCAAAGGTGCACTATCACGAATAGACAATGGTTGAGTAGCCAATCAGAATGTAGGATTTGTAATAGACGATAGTCGGGTGTATACTAAATTATAATAGTGTATGTTGAAGTAAGATGGCTTCTGCATGACGTGTGTCTGTTGCTTATCCAGAAGACATTGACTGACCATTAAATGTCTTTAATTATAGGTGACTGGTCGGCCTGTCCCGGAAATTGTCGAGAGTTGTGTCCGATTCATCACGAAATTCGGTGAGTTATTTTAATCATGATGTAAACATGTTGAATACTGCAGTGATGGAGCATCGGGTGGATGACGACTTCCTAAATTTCTAATATATTCAGGTATGGATCATCAAGGCATTTTCCGAGTTCCTGGTTCAAGTACAGAAATTAATGATATGAAAGAAGCTTTTGAAAATGGTAGATATCGATCATAATAAATCCTTACTATATAAGTACAGTTAGTTTAAGAGTATTCAAGTGGACGTTCATTCTTTGCCATCTCTCACGTTGTGTAGGTCGCGATCCTCTGGCGGGTTTAAATCATTGGAAAGATATCAATGCTGTTGCTGGGGTATTACGTTGTTACTTTAGAGAACTTGAAGACCCTCTCTTTCCGAGAGCTTATTATCAAGAATTTATCGAGGCCAGCAGTGAGTACTTGAAAAGTGCAGGATAATTTCCTGTTCACGTGCTTATTTAAACACATCGCAAGCTTGATTCATTGAGGAACCATAGCATGAATTATTAATGATAAATGTTAATATACAGCTTTCCTAAAATCATTATTTTATCCGTTCTTTACGTGTCGAACTTCTCACCAATTTTCTCCTTAGGAATTCACGATTCTGATGAACAAGCGCGGGCGCTTAATCACGTGATTAAGAAACTCCCGGATGCAGTCGTGCATATTATGAAATACTTGTTTAAATTTCTGTCTGCGTAAGTACTCTCGTTTTGTTTGTAATGCAGTTAAGGCCAACTCATAAATTTTTCATATTGATAACTTGGCAGAAACTATAACCCATATTTTTATATCTTGTCTTCCCCAAAAAGAATAACAAAATATAAAGAACAAAATAAAATGGACGCTCACAACTTGGCTGTCGTATTTGGACCGACTTTGATCCGTGTTTCTGAGGAGGACGACATGATATCCTCACAGGGCCACTTTAACAAAGTCGTCGAGACGATCATTAAGTCTTACGATGTCGTGTTTGACGGAGAGGGACTGGATGCGGTTGATCACGAGGAAGAAGATGAGGACGAAGGGAAGACTGAGGACGAGCTGAGTCCAAATGAATCCGAAAGCGAAGAAGGTAGGAAAATACAAACTATGTTAGGGACTGTTTACATGAGCCTGGTTACCCGAGATTCAACGAAGCATGAGATTATTTTGAGGTATTGAAATGAGCAGATAACATGATCCTGGCAGTCTTAAAATCACCACAACAATAGCATGTGCTTGTTTGGTGTCATAAAGACTTATTTCAATACCTCAAAGTCCTCTCACGGGTAACCAGCTCATGTAAACAGCACCTAATCTTCACGTACAATGCGTGGAACTGCTTCTCTCAAGTGCTTTGGTAACACTAGAGCCTAGGCCTAACGAGCTGGCTTCGCCGATGCGTGTTTACACTGAGGAAAATCAGTCCCAAGCTAGTCCCAGGCTCCTGTAGTAAGCGCCGCTATATATAAACAGTCCGCAGATAATATTTCTGTTTTTCCCCACAGAAGTTGAGCCTCGGGATGCAAAAGCCTTGTACAACTACAAAGCAAGATCTGACAAAGAACTCTCATTTAAAAAAGGAGATATTATTCAAGTATTTAAACGTTCTAACAATGATTGGTGGGATGGCTGTCTTGATGGAAATGATGGTTTTGTACCTTGTGCTTACGTACAGCTAATTGAGGATGATCACGTCGATGGTAGCTCTACTGATTTACGGCACACGCCACAAAGTTTGCCTCTTGACCGCGATGCTTCACCAGATAGTGAAACATTACCATCACCCTCCTCTTCGCGCTCAACACCCACACATGTGTCTACGCCAACCCATGGTCCTACCCCAGCCCATGGTCCTACCCCAGCCCATGGTCCTACCCCAGCCCAAAGTCAACTTTTACTACGCCATCATGGTCACAAAACATCTTCACCAGAGGTGATTCCAGAAGACACACATTTATCGTCATTCACACGAAGCTCATTCAAACGCGCAAGCTCGCCATCTAAATCGCCGTCGAATTCGCTCGAGCGTTCACGAAGTTTAAATGATCGGGCAAGTCCGAAAACGACCGAGGAGGTTACTCGGACGGCGTCGCTGCCCAGATCTGGTGTGATTAGTGGCACGTGGGATCGAAGAAGTCAAAGTGTGGAACCTCTTTCTCCTGTTGAGGCACGCGGTGTTGCCGAAGGTATGCTTTCTCCGGAAAAGAAACGGGGACCCGCGCAATTCACCCGTGTCCCACCTCCAGCGCCCAAACCCAAACCAAAACCCAAGGTACCAAAACGCAATTCAAATCCTTCAACTGAACTTATAGCGAGCCTGCAGGCCGGCACAGCAGCTCGGACTGCACGTCATGACAGTCACGGCGAAGTGTTTGATCATGATGAACTTCCCCCACCACCCCCCTGCGAAGAACGCGAGGTCATAGGAGGGGAGACGCCTTCCCCACCAGCATCTCCGATGGGCAAGCAAGACACTTTTTTGTAATGGGGCAATGTAGTTTGGAACTCATGTTAATATGGCCCGGGTGTAATATAAACTTTGACTGGATAGGAGATAATTTAATTGTCTGAATAATTTCAAAACCGAGGGCTGTTTGTATCAAAAACCGATCACTAGTACCCATCAGATATTGATTTTCAAATTGCCATAGTTTGGTATCTTACTCAGAATCAACCTTACCATTCGTAAAGTTTATCTTTTTGATTGTTGAGTCTATATCTGTTTTTCAGGTATTATTTTCAAGGTTAGAAAAATCCTTATGCAGTTAATCTTGACAGTGATTATTTCTAGACAAATGTAATCGATTTCTCCTGACAAATATTCCCTTTCACAATAATTAGCAATAGTGTCATTCAATCACAATAGAGTGAGTGATGTAATGTTTCCCTGTCATTTCAATGTTGTAAAAATTTTCTCCATGCCATGGCATCAATTAATTACTCGTTGTCTTTGACGTAAAATTAGGTCGTGTCCCTAAAGCTTGATTTTCATTTAAATGATGAATTCGTGTTTTAACGGAACAACACAACCTCGTTGAGGCTCGTTCAAATATGGGCAGATTGAATAGTGAATACCCTGGGAAAGAGGTTGGTCAGAACTTTGAACTTTGCCGAGAAAATAAACACTAATTTTTTATAATTACGATTTTATGACAACCAGATTAACCTTTCTGCGGCAATTTGCCTAACATTCTTCACTAGTCAGTTCAGAATGATAGAATAGAATAATACGAAAAAATATTAGAATTATCTATAACAGATATTACTTCCTTTTGTTTAGATCATTTTAATGCTTTTTATGTTATTCTATTCTGTTTTTACATGGATGCTAAGCCATTTGTAATCATTTTAGTTAGCCCAAGGTTTATTAACGTGGATTTAAATAATTATTTTTGATCATCTTTTCAGGTGTAATTTGATAATATTAGGAATTGTTATGTAAAATGCTTGTAATTATTACGTTCTGACGAAAAGAAGTAAGATAAAAGTCAATAAATAAATGGTGAATTTTCATGAGTTTCATTTCTGTTGTTCCAATGACGGCGCATCTTCGAGCGTTTCGCGACATTTTATTGACTGTCAGCCGCATTAACTCTATGCGCATCGGGTGTTCTCTAATTTTGCAAAATGGCGCAGTACAAAGGCGCTGCGCGCGAAGGACAACGGGCTGCACATTTGATGAAAAAACGAGAAAAGCAAAAAGAAGAATTAGAATTACTCAAAAAGAAGATTGCAGATGTATGTTATGGATAGAATGTATTCATTTCACTTCAAAACTATCCCAGATCTACTTGACTCCTGGAGTGTAGATTGATTGAGCCATTGAGGAGAGTAGAAAAATAAAAATTCGTTTCGTTTGTTACATGCTATCATCACTATAAATGATATAAATGATATTTAACATGTTTCAGCAAGACCTAAAAGCAAAGTTATGTAATCTTTAAATATATTTAGATTAACACTCTGGATGCATATCATTTGAGCTACAATTTTGACCTATCTAATTTACTCTAGGAATCCAAATCAGGAACCATTGGATTTGGTAGCAAGTTTGAAACTCAATATGATGTTGTTGAACAACAACTTAAATCTAGTACCATTGGTAAGAAAACCATGACTGCGTTGGTGTGGAAAGTGTGTATTGTGCAACCAAGATTTTAGGCATGCATGCAATTTTGATGTCTTCTATATATTTACTAGTAATTTTTTAAAATCTTGGTGGGAATGGGAATTGAAGTGGTGTAAGAGGGACTTTGTATTTAGTTAGCCAGGATTAAGTCCATTTTGTGTATTGAACAAATGCTTAGTTCAGCAGAAAATGTAGAAGATCAAGACGTCAAGTTGCCAAAAATACAGCATTTTTTGGATGTCTGATGAAAAAGTTTGACAATCCTTCTCCAATAAAATTCATTGTTTAAGTGTTGATTTTCAATGCATATAAGGAGGTGCTAGAGATCTAATAGCTGGCTAGCTTAATTAAGCCTATACCATGATAGAGATCTGGGTCTGGTTGTTTAACTGCATTTTGCATAGTTAAATCCTAGTTAACTCAGAAATACAGGACTCTGATTGGCTAATGCTATTCTTAACTACAGTTAAACGTTAACTAGTTTTTTATACAACTCCACTGTCCTTTTCCACTGCTAGGATTGGTTACTCTTGATGAGATGAAAGCTAAAAGAGAAGATCTTGTGAGAGAACATGAGAAGAAGCTGGCAGCACAGATGAAACTTAATCAAAAAGACAAGTAAATATTTTCTCTCTCTTTTGGCTCTGGACAAGGGGAATTGCGAACAAACATCTAACATAAACTAAAAATATTCTCTTCAAAAGAAACAAGAAAGATAAAAAGAAAAAACTTGCAAAAATTGCATCGGGTTTATCCTTCGACATTGACGGTGATGATGATGATGATGGTGATGATGGTGATGAGGAAAATGACGAGATAATTGAACCAGCAGGTGACTCCTAGCTTTTGTAAATATATACATGCATTGATAGACATCATGGACCATGGTCAATTATTTACTCCACTCATTCACAACAGAATCATACCTTTTAAATCACCTCACCGTACTTGCTTCAATTCTTTAGTGAAAAAGAAAAAACCAGGCAAGAATCCTGATGTGGACACATCATTTTTACCAGACAAGGATAGAGAGGTACAAGTCAAGCATTGGAATCTAATGAATATTATATTTGAAAACCTTAATTCAATTATTCATGCTGACTGTTGCTTTGATGTTTCATCTGAGATGACAGGAAGAAGAAAGACGTGAGAGAGAAAGATTACGACAAGAATGGGTTGAAATGCAGGAAAAGATAAAGAGTAGGGAACTAAATCATACTATCCTCTTCTTGAACATGTTTTATATGAGGTTGAAACCAGTTGTCTTAGCCACATAACCCGGGTTAGAAGATTTTGTTGTTCTATGGAGTTATTCTAGACCCTAAGGCTGCAGATGTGAAGATGCATTAACGAAGTTCTGAGTTTCAGTAGAATTTGAAGGTCGTACATGATAACCTTCATGCAAATGTGCATTCATGAACAGAATGTAAAGTTAAGACTAAGAGTCAGCATTGTTAACATGCTTTGAGCCATTGATCGACAAAGAGACTTGATGCATAGGAATGCGAGAAAAGTGTTATGACTTGTAAGAAGAATGTGAACTTAATGTGACAGTGATAGAAAGAGAGACTCTACGCATCTTTGCTAAGTGTGTAGATATCTAGGCCTTTCTCATACACCTCTTGTTCTCATCTGCTGGACAAGCTATAACCATAATTCTTGATGTTTCAACAGAAGAGGATATCGAAATCACATACAGCTACTGGGATGGCTCTGGTCATCGGCGAAAACTCATAGTTAGTATATTACGAGTCTCATTTACTGGCTAAAAGGTAAAAACCACATATGAAGATTTATTTTCTTTTTTTCAGATGAAGAAGGGAAATTCCATTCAGCAATTCTTACAAAAGTGTTTAGAACAACTAAGGAAAGACTTCACTGAACTTAAGTAAGGGCATGGATTACAAGTTATTAGCTACACAAGCCAATAGCTATGCCTGGAAATGGCGTTATAATACAGCTAAAGGTAAAAGATAATTGTCATATCAGTTGAAATATGTTACTCACTTGTAATTTTAGGCCTGTAACAACGGAACAAGTTATGTATGTAAAAGAAGACTTGATTATCCCACAGGTACGCAGCAGAATTTAATGTGGAATACCCCAAAATATTTTATCAACCCTGATGTTTCATTTTTAATGTGTTTTTTTTTTCTTTTAATCACGAAGTAAGGAAAAGAATATATTTACCCTGAATTTAAGAATTATCTGTTAGATTATCTTCAATTTATGTCTGAAACTAAGTTTCCTAACTCAATGTTCATAATCATCCTTCGTTAATTATAGCATTACATGTTTTATGACTTTATCATCAACAAAGCCCGAGGCAAGAGTGGGCCTTTGTTTAATTTTGATGTTCATGATGACGTGAGACTAACTAATGATGCCACCGTTGAAAAAGACGAGGTATGCATTTGAGAGCAGACAGACTGAAAGAGCCACTACCAGGAATAGCGCTAGTGAGCGCTACTATACCACTGAAAATGCTCACAGGATGGTTGAGAGCCAATGTCTAACCGGAGTCCTATTTTGCTTTAGTCTCACGCAGGTAAAGTTTGTTTAAGAACTTGGTATGAAAGAAATAAACATATTTTTCCTGCTAGCAGATGGGAACCTTACGATCCGGAGAAAAAGTGGAGCAAATATACGGTGAGTGTCACTGATATCTCTCTTTAGAATACGACTGATAAATAGTAATTATTGGTCCGTAGACACAATCATTGGTCGCAATTTAACCAATTTTCAATTGTCATCTAATATCAGTGGTAATTATTGGTCCGTAGGAACAATCATTAGTCGCAATTTTCAATTGTCATCTAATATCAATTGTAATTATTGGCCCGTAGGAGCAATAATTCGTCACAATTTGCAATTGTCATCCTTGTAATTATACCCAATTGGCTAATAATTGCTACTTTTTATCACTTGCATTAATGCTAAAATCATTACATTAACTTCATGTGCGCAATATTCTAGATTTCTGAAAAGAAATAGGGAAGAAGATATCCTTTGATTGCGTTCCTTGCTGGAATGCTGGATGAATACGAGACTTTGATATTCCTCTTTGAGGATCACCGTCCAACTAAAAGAGAGAACCGAGAAATAGTTGAACCATTATTTGCAGGCATTGCACTGATGTGAATATTTCAAATATACAAGCAATCCTAAACTATTTAGTATTAATAAAGCAAATACAATAAAGTGTATGACAAGGTCAATGGGTAATTATTAATTATTATTAGAATAGATTTCTGTCGCACACAAACTCAACCATAAAGGGTTTTCTTGTTGCACCAAACGCGTGTGAATTTAACTTTTCATTCATAAAAAGTTGAATTTCTATCCCAACAACCCTATAGATAATTATGTCGCATGCAAACTTTTTTTCCTGTCAGCCCCGCTCTCATTGAAAGGCGATGTGTGCATTTCTTGAAATTTATAACTTTGAGGCCACCAGACTGAATTTTATATTTACGTATATATCACTTTTTATATAAGCATAGATATCATCTCATAACCATTATTTTTAGATTGTGTGCATACGAGCGTCGTTTTCGAGCGTTTTCAAAATCGTTTTTGTCTAGTTCATCGTCTCGATCGATGTACGATCCAAGAGGAAATATGTTCAATATGTTAAATTAGCTTAACCCTCTCGCTATTACAATGAATGAATTAACCTAACCGACTTTTATGCAAAAGTTGATCGCCTTGCAGTTCTGCAGAGTGCAGCATTCTGAGGAGACAAATGTGCTATAAAGATTTTAGAATTACTCTTTTGCAAGTGAGGGTAAATTAATTAATTTTTTTTAGCACTTTATGCTCGATGTAGGGTGATTGCTAAAGGATTAAAGGGTTTTAATTTCGAGAAGTAATCATAAATCTCAAGTCCAGCCGAGAAAATGTATCAAATATTCGTCCCCCGGCATGAATAGAACCTACAGTTTTATGACAAAGGTGCATTACTTGATTCGATTCCTGTCGTAGGACCAATAGTTAATACACTTTCTCAACTTTTCCTGGCTTTAATTTGAAATATATATGGTTTCCACTCGAAGTTAAGACCCTTTTAATCCTTTAACAATTACTCTTTTGTATGCTGAGAAAATATATTTGGCATTTCCCAATTTTGGCTCTAACACACATGCCATGGTCTATGGAATATTACAGTTGTTACACACGCATGGTCTATGTAATATTACTGTTACCGCGACTTTAACATAAAGTACTGTCACAGTTATTCATGCATGCATGCATGGTCTATATTGAATTACCCAGAACAAGCCGAGTAAACACATTAGCATTGTCCATATAATATTACGAAAAAAACAATGACAGACTAATAAGAATACAAAAATTGTACACATGATATTGCATAATAAACGAAATAGTGCAAAAAAGTTTAGTAAAAGAGTTCTTAAACATCGTCACAAATCAGTTTATTCCCGCTTCGTAACAGGAGGAATGTAACGCAGTTCATAATCAGGATGCATGACTCTATAGGTCGGAAGATAGGTTCGGTAGTTCAACCGGAAGAGGGTGTTTGGAGTCTTGGGACAAGGAAGCCAGTTCTTTTTCTCTTTCGGATCTACTGGTTGTTCAGCTTGAAAATACATATCCAATGATCCGTCGTCGTTAAATTCAAGTCCCTCAGTTTGGGGGCTGAGCGAATAGCGATTGATATCGTTGTGTACCAACTGGTATGCATCAGTATACATCGTGACTGACCAGAATCCATGCGCTTTGGTGTCTGGGATCCGTTTTTTTGCCACGTGCATTGTGTACTTGAAGTTGCTGTTGAAGAACTCGCCAGTTCCAGGTTTCCCCTTGGTGGAGCTGGGAATGTAGCACTCGTAGGTACTGTAGTATTGACATTCTGCATAATCGTGTACAACCAGTCCTTCCAATGCTCCGGCAGCTCGGTCAAGATACTTGAAGTTGTAGGTACCTTCTTGTAATTTATTCCAGCGAGTTTCATAGGCCGTACCACGATATTTCACTTTCCATCGCATGAGATTTGGACCAATTTCGGCGGCCCGCGCTAAACCACGGTAAGTTGGCTTCGAGAGTTTCTCAGGTTGAAATTCTTCACCAGCGATGAGTCCAACATAACGATAAGTGTCCCACTGTGCGGCGTGTTTCTCTGTGGGAGGATTATTTACCATCAGTGCAGCAATCAATTGGAAGACTCCAAGATGACCTTCATAAACAGGTTTTGCTTTAACACTGGCTGGTACTGCTGCAACACCTATGTTTCCGCTATTCCAGTTGCTGAGAGAGGTCAATGAGAACTGCTTCTGTAATTCGTGAACCTTCTTAGTGTCCTCTTCCAAATTATTTTTATCAACAGTGATTCTAAGAGCAAACAACACACTGTTGTAGGAAAGGCGGTAAGCTACGACATCATCTGGGAGATCACCAAAAAAATTTGGTCCCACAAATGCAAAGTTTCCTCCATAACCGTCCGTGGTTCTTGAACCAATATAGAAACAATTTTCAAGGTATGTATTAGCAACTTGTATGCTCCAGTATCGATCCAGAATTTCCGACGGTGTTTTCAGAATGATAGGCTCGTCAATCAGCTCCAGCAGAGCGCCACTGTAGACCGTGTCATTGTTGGGTGTGTATGGAAGAATATCATCAGGCGTTGTGAGTCCTTCCATATGACCAATTTGATTGATCGGAGCCACGGGTGCTATTCCTTCTTTCTTTTTCATAAGTTTTGGATCCGAACGAATTCTTCTTTCGCGTTCAACAACTGTGAGAGGCAAGCCAAATACGTAGGCTTGAATCCCCATAGAGTAGGCAAATTCTTCTTCCATTTTATCGTAATCAATATCGGACGACATTTTGGCAGATTTCTCAGGAGCGTAAACACGTCAGTCTTCAAAAAGTAATTATTTATGTGCTCTTATTGTAAATGCTCGCAGGAGTCAGGACTAATTCTTCGCCGACGAAATGGTAGCCTGCGTTCAGATGTAAATCAAGAAAAAATGTCCGTATTGCAATTGGTGAAAGGTTTCATGTTCCACTACCCAAACTTCGGTAGTGCGCTCTCATTGGCTGGCGTCAAACGTAATAGGAACCGTGTTTACAAAATCGTAATTGTTTGCCAATCAGAGACTTCAGAGTGGACTATTTGATTTTAAATTAAAAACCGACAATATGACCCAGAACATGAACTATCATTTCCCTAAAGAAATAAGATATGTCTGCACGCAGGCTACGAAGTGGTTGATGTGAAATAATCTGTTTCATTGTATGCATGGTCTTCTAATTTTTTGGTAGGATGACCCTTGGGTCCAATGGAAACAACGAATATATCAAACAAAGTCCGCAAACTGAAGCACCATAATTTACATATTTTAAGTAGATACTGTTCACACAAATTGAGTTTATTAAAATGCAAATTAAGAATATTTCAAGTTCGATTGCAAATGGCTCCAAAGGCAAAGGGCTTCAACGGGGTTGGGAAATGGGCATAAAATATATTCAAAGTTATGAATGATTTATAGTGACATTTAATGCATCATTTTCTGAAGCTCAGTCAAAGCTATTGTTGAAACTTGTAATCAATCTCAAACAATTATTTGTAAACAGAAATGTTTTATTACTAGCACGAACACTCAGGAAAGAAGAGTGGGTGACCGTTATTATAAACACATAGTCTATTTAATATAACGCTTATCGCACACAGTCTAAAACATAAAGCACTAACAGTCATTCATGCATATACATGGTCTATGTATATTAAATTACCCGGCCAGAAAAAGCTAACATGCATTAATACGTTCATATACTATTACTATTATAGAGGAAAAACAATGTTAGATAAGTAACAACATGTGAAGCCATGTGATATTGCATAATGAATGCAATAGTGCAAAAAAATTAAGTAGAAGTGTTTTTTAAAACATCGTCCCAAATCAGTTTATCCTCTCTTCGTAACAGGAGGAATATAACGTAGAACATCATCAGGATGCAAGACTCTATAGGTCGGAAGATAGGTTCGGTAGTTCAACCGGAAGATGGTGTTTGGAGTCTTGGGACAAGGAAGCCAGTTCTTTTTCTCTTTCGGATCTACTGGTTGTTTAGCTTGAAAATACATATCCAATGATCCGTCGTCGTTAAATTCAAGTCCCTCAGTTTGGGCGCTGAGCGAATAGCGATTGATATCGTTGGCCACCAACTGGTATGCATCAGTATACATCGTGACTGACCAGAATCCATACGCCTTGCTGTCTGGGATCTGTTCTTTTGCCACGTGCATCGTGTACTTAAAGTTGCTGTTGAAGAACTCGCCAGTTCCAGGTTTTCCCTTGGTGGAGCTGGGAATGTAGCACTCGTAGGTACTGTAGTACTGACATTCTGCATAATCGTGAACAAATAGTCCTTCCAATGCTCCAGCAGCTCGGTCAAGATACTTGAAGTTGTAGGTACCTTCTTGTAATTTATTCCAGCGAGTTTCATAGGCCGTACCACGATATTTCACTTTCCATTGCATGAGATTTGGACCAATTTCGGCGGCACGTGCTAAACCACGGTAAGTGGGCTTCGAGAGTTTCTCGGGTTGAAATTCTTCACCAGCGATGAGTCCAACATAACGATAAGTGTCCCACTGTGCGGCGTGTTTCTCTGTAGGGCAATTATCTACCATCAGTGCAGCAATCAGGCGGAACACTCCCAGGGGACCTTTGTAATCAGGTTTTGCTTTAACACTGGCTGGTACTGCTGCCACACCTATGTTTCCGCTATTCCAGTTGCTGAGAGAGGTCAATGAGAACTGCTTCTGTAAGTCTTGAACCTTCTTAGTGTCCTCTTCTATGTTAGTCTTATCAACAGCGATTCTAAGAGCGAACATCGCACTGTTATATGGAAGGCGGTGAGCCACGACATCATCTGGGAGATCACCAACGAAATTCGGTCCCACAAATGCAAAGTTTCCTCCATAACCGTCCGTGGTTCTCGAGCCAATATAGAAACGGTTTTCAAGGTATGTATCAGCAACTTCTATGCTCCAGTAGCGATCCAGAATTTGCGACGGTGTTTTCAGAATGATAGGCTCGTCAATCAGCTCCAGCGCAGCGCCACTGTAGACCGTGTCATTGTTGGGTGTGTATGGAAGAATATCATCAGGCGTTGTGAGTCCTTCCATATGACCAATTTGATTGATTGGAGCCACGGGTGCTATTCCTTCTTCTTGTTTCATAAGATCTGGATC